GCAGGGCCGTGCTGCTGGCTTATGGTAGGGTGGCGTCTGCCGCGACTCCCAAGTCCCCTGTCCATTTGTTGTCTAACCTGGGCCAGCGTACGGGGTTATTGCATCCTAACTGCATTTGGCTGCTGAAACTGATGGGGTGCCTGTTGGCCCCTCTCCCACCTTGCTGAGATCCCTCTTAACAGCAAGCTCTGCTCTCCCATCTACTGATGACTCCTTCCAGTTTGGCATCACTTGCAAACTTGGTCAGGATGTGTACACTTCCTTAGTGTACACAGAATTCTCCAGGTGGCAACATAAGAAGGAATCAGTATTGTAAGACAGCAGCAAACCATGTTAGTCTAAGTTAGATATAATATAGTTGTTTCCTTTGTGACTGAGGTTCATGGAATTCCAAACCATTACGCTCCAAAGCTAGATTTTCTTTGCAAAAGTGGCAACTACCTACCTTTAAATAAACTCTAGTCCTGATAGAGGGTGAAAACATTAAGCACAGGGATTGTTCTCACATGTGCAGATGTGATGCTCTTGTATTCTTACTAGCAACATCGAGATACCTAAAACTTGATGTGTTTTGTCTTATTCAGCTTTTTACAAGCTCCGTGCAGATGAATCCCACAGATCATATCACTAATACCAAAGTAAGTCTTAAATCCGTCGCTCAATGTACACAGTAGTGAGAGATGGAAACTTTATTCATCCTTTACTGTTTTCTTTACTGGTATAATAGCACTTTTTTCATGCTCTGGCTTTGAAGACTTCCATGAGAATAGGAAGGCTGCAGCTGAATTCATCCTGTTCGTTAGGTTTTAGACAGAAAAGGGAAAAGCATGCTAATTAATAATGTTCTTTAAAACTCTTACCTTGAGGCCAATACCTGTACATTAGACCAGTCTCTCGACTTCTGTATCCTCTAAGATTTTAGTACTTACAAACATGGTTACACACTTTGTCAGAACAGTTTCATCTGTACTGTCTGGTGGGAAAAGAAACGCGAGAATAGGCAGTAGAGCAAAGATCTAGCTAGCTCTTTGAATTTGTCCTGTTCATTTATGAGCATTAGTTTTGGTTCTTGCTTGAGTAAGTCTGTGTTTCCATTTCACATTTTCTAAGCCAGGGTCTATTAGTATGGGTAACTGATACCACTGCATCCCTTCGCAAATAGAAATTGAAATTTTTTGACTAGCTGGTCAGCTGTGTTCTAGTGGCATTGTAAAAGGCTTTAAGCATGTGGTTTTTTGCTTTCATTTCCAGATGGAGGCAAAGGGCATAGAAACTACCAAGAATAATGCTGGTCCAGCAGCTTCACAGGAAACACAAGTTTCTAAACCTAAATCAGGTGAGTTTGTAGGGTTTTGTTTGAAACAGGTTTTTAGAACAATGCTTGTTCAACTATATCTCAGTTATTTGCTCTTTGTCTGGTATTGTGTCATGCTGATAAGCAAATAACCAAAACAAAATACTTAGTATACTTGCTTTTTAGGTTTTTGGCACTGCACCAGGTACAGAGAAACTGATGTTTTTGCAGGAGAATCTGATCAAATGATGTCATGCATGAATGTTTTAAATGACTGAAGAATTGTCACAAACACCTATAATGTTTTTTTATTAATTATTCTTTACATAAATTCTGTGGGCTGGATTTTGTGTTTCCTCCTTCTGCATGTAGAAAGGCTTGTGAACTGATCATGTTTTGGGATTATTTTTTTCCCTCAGATAAGCAGCTCATACAGTGGACTGCGTTTCCACTGCTTGCATTCCTCGATGGGAACCCTGGCTCTGCTGTGGAGAGTGGGAGCTCCGCAGCTGAAACTCCTTCCTCCGTTGACAAAGCCCTGGAGGTGGACGAGCTCCTGGAGAGCAGCCTGGACCCCCAGCCCACCCAGAGCAAACTGGTGCGGCTGGAGCCGCTGACACAGGCGGGAGGCAGAGGAGGC